TTAGCCAGTTAGGCTGCCGAATCCTGAATTGTGCACGTCATGCTGTTTGGGTGCTCCGCTCTTCTTTTTAGAATAATTTTTTTTTTTTTGAAGTAAATGGTTAAGAAGTTAGTAGAGTTAGAGCCTGTTTGGTGTGGCTGGTCTTTTTAATAGAAGTTCTGTTAGATGGAATTTATTGTGGAAGGGCTGTTTTTGAGAAGTTAAAAGTGTTTGGTAAAATTTTTTATAAAAGTACTTGCAGAGTAAAAAATTGTTTGGTAAAGTTAAAAAATATATATTTATAAATTTAAAATTTTATTAAAAATTTTAGAAATAATTTTTCAATTAAATTTTTATTAAATAAAATAAATTAAAAGGTAAAATATATTTTTGCATTATTTGGTAATATTACGTAATTATTAAATAAAATAAATATTATTGATTTATTTATGTTTAAAATTAGAGTAATTAAATAATTTTACATAATAAATAAATTATATTTGAAAATTTTTCTATATTTTTTTTATTGAATATTTTTATTAAATAAAATAAATTAAAAGGTAAAATATATTTTTGCATTATTTGGTAATATTACGTAATTATTAAATAAAATAAATATTAAGATTCTGATTTTTTATAATAAAAAATAATACATGTTATGTCCATATTATATTATTATTGTAAATTAATAATCTTAGGACACGTCAGGATTTCATTTCCTAAAGAAATTCTTCGATTTTTAATTTGGCGAACTTCAATATGTTAATTAAATGGAGTTGATGGAAGAAGCGTGGCGTCCATGGTAAAACAGCCGGCGTTAGGCAGCGGATAACTGGAAAGTGCAAAAGGACAACGCCGAAACGAGAATAAAAAAACAGATAACGACGACGTTAGACGAACGGCGGAGCGTCAGGACTCAGGAGTCAGGAAAGGAAAAGTGTGGACCGTAGACAGATGAGAAAGTTAGCCAGTTAGGCTGCCGAATCCTGAATTGTGCACGTCATGCTGTTTGGGTGCTCCGCTCTTCTTTTTAGAATAATTTTTTTTTTTTTGAAGTA